AAAGATCTCTCAAAACCAAAAATAAAACCGAAGAAGTTCATAGAAATCAATCAAAAAACTTAAATAAACACTCGAAATCAACCAAAAAACTGAAAAAAATCATTCGGAACGGTAGAATTTGGTTAAAACCACATTAGACTTATACCTACTTAGTAGCGTTGCGTCTTGTTTCAAAGGTCAATTTCATTTGAAAATTTGTATTTTCTCTTCTTTAAATTGACACAACTGACTTTTTTAAGATCAAACTCCTTTGGCTTTTTACCGTATTAAACCACGACTTTACAAGCCTTTTAACGTATTTTAAATGATTTTTTTTTGTTAAATATGGTGCTAGCAATTGTAATAATCGAGGCGAGGAGACATAGACATAGACATAGACATAGACATGGACATGGAGATAGTGGTGATCTAATAAAATTTGGGTGTTTGTGGCATGTCCCAAAAGTAGTGTGCGAAAAGCGCCGATCCGAACAAGACAAACATGAGGAAGGAAATGGTGATTCATTTTTATTAAAACAAATAAAGTGATGCTCTTTTTGCCCTCTTTCTTCTCTCTCTCTCCGGGGACGATCTTTGTGTTCAATTCCATGATTTAATACTCTTTTTTCGAACGAACAGGTAATTTCTTCTCTAACTCATTACTGTCGGCATCTTTCTTTCCATTACATATATTTTATACATCAAGTTGTTTTTAATCAAAGTCCAATTTTGGGTTTTGATGGGTACAATCAGCTAAATTCGCAGGAGGAGGAACAAGATAAATAACCCTTTTCAGACTAGTGTCAGTCGGTGAGTCGATCGATAAAAATCATGACTCTTGTTGAGAATGGTGGGTCTAATAATCGGGTCGAATCAACCGATGTTGATCAGTCCAAATCATCGATTTCGATTGCCAGGTCCAACGATCACCATCAGAGTTTTCATCAGCAGACTAAGATGATACCTAATGGGAATGGTGTTTTGAATCATCATCATCAGCAGATGAAAATGACTGCTGTTGATCATCATGATCATGAAGAAGAGGGTTTTAAGAAAGAGATGAGGGATTTGGCTGAAATGTTGTCCAAATTGAATCCTATGGCTGAAGAATTTGTGCCCCCTTCTCTCTCCAACAACAACTTTAATGGGTCTCTACTGCTACCACCATCTGCTGCTGCTGCTCACTTTGGTTACTCTGCCGTCAACGATTTCCTGCTCCAAACTAACCATACCCCATTTGCCAACGTCAATGGCATTTCTAATAGAAGGGTATACTCAATATTCACACCCCCCCCCCCCCTTTTATTCAGTTTTCTTGTTCGGGTTTAATGATGATTCTTGTAAAAGATTTGTATGTTTTAGAAAGCAAAAAGGGATATAGGTATACTGAGTTCTTTTTTTGTCATGATGTGTTTCTGGTGCTGGTTTTTCTGACTTTCTAATGTTAATGGTTAGAAGAAGGGTAACTTTAGTCATGGGAAACGAAGGATGAATAACCGAACTAACATGGCACAACGAGAAGATGTCATTAGGAGAACAGTCCATGTTTCCGACATTGATCAGCAGGTGAAGAGTCATATACTTACCTCAGGATAACATTTTTTTTCTTGGAGTTTGCTGTTTTTCATAACTTTTTATGACTAGCATTATTCTTACGTATTTGGGATGGTGTGACTTTAGGTAACTGAAGAACAACTTGCTGCCCTCTTTATCAACTGTGGACAGGTAAATATGTGAACCAGATTTATGATGGGATGTCTTTGGTTTTGTTGGTGTTATATGATGACTTTGACTGACTGTTTAACTGCTACTTTTCTCTCTGCCACAATAGGTTGTGGATTGCCGCATATGTGGTGACCCTAATTCCGTTCTTCGTTTTGCCTTCATTGAGTTTACGGATGAGGGTATGTCTATGTAACCTTTTATACTTTAGTAAAATATATATGATTTTTGCTTGGTGTTTCATTCTGTTGTCTCTAATGTGCTTGCAGAAGGTGCAAGGAATGCATTGAGTCTGGCTGGAACTATGCTTGGGTATTACCCGGTCAGAGTGCTGCCTTCAAAAACTGCAATTGCACCCGTAAATCCAACTTTTTTGCCACGAGTGAGATCCTTTTACCTTACAATTTATGAAGCTGGAAAACTCTATGAATGTATGGTTGTGCTAACCCCATTTTCCTTTGCCCTTCTTTTGTGTATAGTCTGAAGATGAAAGGGAAATGTGTGCAAGAACTATCTATTGTACTAACATTGATAAGAAGGTAGTTTAAAAGCTTTTGTTTGTTGTGCATGCATTTCATGAACATTAGCATGGGTGCATATATGTGATCTCTATTTTGTTTGAAGCAGGTTACGCAGGCAGATGTGAAACTGTTCTTCGAATCATTTTGTGGAGAGGTTTGTGGTTGTCATATACAATCTGAATACATTTTTTGCTACTTCAATTCTTAACCGTGTATTACTGAAACTATTGTTTCATAGGTTTACCGCTTGAGGTTGCTAGGAGACTATCATCATTCAACTCGTATTGCATTTGTGGAGTTTGTGATGGTGATTTTTCTTGAACTTTTTACCTGGTTTTGTTGCTTTAAATATGTGCATTGCATTGTATCACAAAATGAAAAGGGAGCTTGTCTTTATGCTCCAAAGATGGAGTCTTTTTGATTGACAAAATTTGTAGTAACATATGCAAAAGTTGCATTAATATCCTTGATTTTTCATGTATTTTTTAGTTAAGATTATTATAATTGATGTGTCTTCATCATTAGTTCTTTGCAAGAGTGCAATCATTCCAATAGCTTCATTGGCATTGTCTTTGTCATGTACTCAAGTGTGACATGAGACAACCTGAATTTTATGGCTATTGCAAATGGTAAATGCACAAGAGCATCATATTGGTATACTGATATTTGTTTGTTTTTGGTGCTGTCATCCTCATCATGAGGAATGCCAAGTTAGGGATTTGTGCCTTTGTGGGTTGCCAGATTGTAAAACTTGAGGGGGTTGAATAGGTTTCTGATTAGTTGACTAACCATTTTTGAGTTTGATGAAAAGTATTCAAAGCACAATTAATATATTTAAAAACAGAGGAAAAAGATTTGAACATAGAAAGTTATTGTGGTTGAACCCTTTCCCTATGTTCACTGCTAGAGCTTTTTTATCATCTCATCCACCAGTAAAACCTTTTCTAGTTGAAAAACATTTACAATTGTCCATTTTCTTGTTACCATTAGTGCTTCCATGCTGATTTTGTGTTGTGTGCCACCCGTAGGTAGCTACCGAATCTAAAAAGATACAGTCAACCTAGAATGGTATATTGAACCTAGATTCCACCAACTCTCTACTTTATGCCTCTAAAGCAAGCGACTCTCTTAAGATGTTAGAAATAGTTTTGAGCAATGAAGTTGCAGTTCATGTAACTCCTTAAACCTGGCCTTATGTAAATCCTTTAGATTTATAGGTGTTCTCCATGCCTCCAACTTTGCATTAAGACATTGCATTGCCTCATTGTAAAGAGGAGGTCACTGGAAAAAGCATAAGACATGGTGTGCCAACTAAAGCAAAAGTATAGACTTGATAATGAACATATCTGTCCCTGCATCACAGGCTTTCTCAGTTTCATACTTGTTGCTAGCTATGCATCATTCATCAATAACATAAATATATATAGGCACTTATCTTTCTCAAGATCCCACTATATCACTTTACTTAGTACCCTATCATATGCCTTCTCTAGCTACATAGACACCAAATGGAAGTACTTTCTACGTCCTCTAATATAGAAAAAGCCTCTGCAATAGGCAGAAATTCGATAAGATATTCTCTGAATATTACTGGAGCAAAGGGTATCATCAATAACCATCTTTTGGCTCCTTTTGAGATGAATACGACCATAGTTGTTATCCCAGTATTTGTGCACATCTGAGGTGTTTCAGACCCATATACTTGCACTCCTAGATAAGTATAATATCAGTCTAAGAAACATACATCACATACCCAAAGGGAGACCTTGGAGCGCCAAGGTTCTTTGGACTCAAAAGGGTTTGGGAAAGAAGTCTTTGTATGTAGCCTTTCCCTTGTGCAAGAGGTTTATGTGAAACCATGACCTTCCAGTCATAAAGGAGCAACCTTATATAACACATGGAGATGGGTAACAAATTTAAGACAGACCATGAAAGCTGAAATGCAATGAGGCCAGATCAAGTAGACTCGGAAACTCCTATTGCTACATGGCTAGATGTATGTCTTCAATAGGTTCACTGTAGTTCACCACAACTAACAACCACAAATAACAGGATTAGTATTTGCACTAGATGCACTTCTATCCAGAATCTCAAACTTACTATAAGCAATGAGCTTTGTGGTGACTATGCTTGTGCATGCATGTTATAATAATGCAAATACTTGATTCTATTTTATATACATGTGTGCAAGAAGGATGTATGTTAATGTGTTGATATGGATATTTCATTTGATTATTCTGAGATATCAGGTGTCTGATAATGTGTATCAGTATGTATGATGCAAATTCAAATCCATATGTGTTAAAAAAATATTAAATATTGAATTAGCTTGACAATGAATCTTTATGTACTCTAAAGTCACCTAGTGGATACCACAAATACAATTGCTGTCAACTGACATAATATGTTGATACTGATGTAGAGATGTTAGTTTAGTGTAAAAGTTATTAGAAAGTAATGATTGACCTAAGAAATAAGTCAAGCTGAATGGGGGAAGTTAGTTTCCATTTTGTAGGCTTTGGTGGTGACAGATGGAAAAGTGCATACAGTAAGTGAGGCTGCATTACAATTTGTCACCGTTGGTTATATTACCATGTATTTCAGATATCTTTCATGATCTATGTTGTGTAGGTTGATTGGGTTGGGGCTATTGCACTTGGGTGACTGGATGAAGTTTAACAACATGCTCTTATCTATGAAAGTGGGAACTAGGATGCACAAATGTAACCTGTGTTCGCAATTAAAACTTGAAAAGAGATTAGTCAACACTTCTAGTTTCATTTTATTGGGATGGGAAATTACTGATTTGGATCTATGAAAGCTGTTATGGTGCAGAGTGTTCTAAAAACCATTAAGTGGGGCTAAGCAGCAGATAGGTCTTCTAGTGCTGAGACCTTCTAGACAGATGCTTACGCGGTTCAGTTTTGGTATGCCATCCCAAAAGGTGGCAACGTCTGATTCGGCACTTAGTTTAATATAATTGTTTGACTATTGGTTTAAAAATCTTAGATAAGATCAAATATTGACAAAACATGGGGAATCTTATGGACCAAAGTTGATTAATCAATAGTTTGTAATTATTACGATTTACGAACGTGCAAACAGGTCTTTTAGCTTAAATTTTTTGCAAAAAAGGTTACATTGCAATGTATTGATGCAAAAGAGGGAAACATTAGATTTATTTTGGGACATATAGAAGATGCTACTTTTTAGCATACGGTTACTTTATTTTTTATGTTTATATCAGAACCAGTGAGTCGTATAAACATACGTGTTAAAATATTGATACTGGTTATGTACGTTTGGTCCAAATTTTATGATTTTTGTTATGGTTTTTTAAATTAGTGTTGGGCAACCGAAATTTAATGTGAAGTTTGAGTATTGAAGAACAATAATGCAGAAATTTTGAACAAAAATTCAAATACCAGAAATTCATATTCTTATTGGATGTTCTCACAAATGACATGGTATATACCAGCAGGGCAACACGAGTTGCTGGGAGAACTTAGAAAGAGCATCAGACGACATGATAACTGGATCTGTCCCTCGTCCAGTCGTAGGAGTAGACGGTAGAAGTTGCTTAGGATTTGGCCTTTGGATCATTTACAAGATTACTTTGACAAAAAAAGAACATTCGGATGCTTTGACAAAAAAAGAACATTTGGATGCTTTGCTAATTAGGTGGTTATTGAAGTGAGGTTAATTTTATCCTTTTTGGCCTGACCATTACTTGTCTTGTATTTTGATATATGCATTAATTATAGATCAGGTCAGCTGATTCTTAAACCCCATTAATGCGCTTACTCTGTTCAATTCCTGGTTAATAAGGAAATAGAAGCAGATTGAGGGGGGATAAGTGGCCAATTGAACCGCCTTTTAGAATACTGTAGATAAATGCAGTTTGCTAACCAGTAAACCGCTTACCAAGTTTTTGTTCTCATGTGGTACGATATCGTAAAGTACACCTGGAAAACGGGTTGAAGTATTTGCTAAAAAGATGTTCTCTCTTTAAGATTTCCATGATGTGTATAATACTAGAAATTATATTACAGTCTACCTTTCATCACCATGCATTATGGCTGCACATATAGTTTGCTGTTGATGGGTATTCTAATGTTCTAATCTTAATAGGATAGTCTGCTAGTTGTATGATACTGATGGTTGATGCAATCTGTTGTTCAATAGCAACATCGTTTTACACTCTTTAGCTCAAATCTTCTTTCAGATTCTAAGAACCTGCATTCCCCAGCTTAAAAATGACCTGCATTTGTTATGATATCACCCCCTGCCTTACTTCCATTCCTTTTATTTATAAAAAAGGGTCATGTTAAGGTTAAACTCGTTACTAAAATTAGAGTGCGATATGCAAACATATTCTCTTTCATTCTTTTTATTATATAAGATGGATGAGTGGGTGTATGAAAACGAAACAAAGAAAAAGGTAAGTATCATGTGTTGTGTGGAATTTTACAGGCAGAGAGTGCAATTACGGCCCTGAACTGCAGCGGTGCAGTATTGGGATCACTGCCGATAAGGTGAGGTGATTGTTAACGTTGATGATTTTTTGAAAAGTGAAAATTTGGTTTGTTGAATGAATGGTCTATATTATGTTGATGCAGGGTTAGCCCATCAAAGACCCCGGTTCGTCCACGTGCACCTCGCCCTACCATGCACTGAATGGACGGATAGCAGCAATATCTAAATATACACATACGTAAACTTTTAACTGGGAGATACTGGTTTTATGTTTCTGGTGTTTTTGTTGGATGCATTCGGGGTTCAAGTACCTGTTTGAAATGTAGATTTAGGATGCAAATTTGAGGGTGAATCCTCTCTTTCTTTCTCTGTTTTACTCTCTAGGTACTGCTGTTTTATTCAATCCAAGAAGACTATGTTTTCCATTGATGACTATATCCTATTATGCTCCTTTCTTTAACCATCATATTCTTTTTGTCTCCTGTAATCTACTAAACCAGTTTTCTTTGCTAACAAATAGTTTTCTTTTTTCTCAATTAATGTAATAAACGTTGATTTTTTTACTCATTTTGACTGCTAACCTAGATTTTGTAATTATCGATGATGTTTAGGTCAAATCACCGTCAATGTGACGAGTTATACTGTAATTCTTGATTACATAGAAAAATCAACTGAAGTCACAAAAACTCTTTATTGAGTAAAATTGGTAACATTACGCAGTTTCCAATTAAGGGGCTGCATGGTGGATGGTAAATGATTATGTGGTCAGGATGATTAAGAGACTTTATATGTCATGGTGCAAAATAAAACAGACTAGATGTTCTAAATTGATGGTCTGGATGATATAGAATTACCGGTTTAACCTTCTATATGATTTATGGGCTTATTATGCTTTTCTTTTCCATTAAGCCCCATACATGTTAAAGCCATTTTCATAATTATAACCCAATTTCTCAACATAACCACTACTTCATGTACGTTCATTCAAATCAAATAGCCATTTTCTCAACATAATCACTACTTCATGTATGATCTCCAACCCTCTTTCACCAAGCTTGTATACAAGAACAACCGGTTCTTTTTACATGAAGTACTATCTAATAATTGTTGGATTGATTTAGTTTTTCTCCCTCATTCCACACACCTGATGAACTAGTATGATTTCCGATGTACCAAAACACAAACAAGAAATCAGAGTCTTGTCCAAAACCATGAAGTCCGCTGGTGAATTCGATGTCAACAATCTACTCATGCTCTCCAGGAAGAAAACAAATAGAGAATGTACATATGGGGATCGCTAGAATTTTTACTTGTTTACCTTCGAGTTTGTGATTCTTACAAAAGCATTGGTTTTTTGATATAGCATCTTACATTGGCAAATGGAGATGGGTGGAGTGACTATCTAAATACAAGACAGGTCGTGGGTTCAATCCAGGTACTCCCACTAGCCTCTGCGGTAGAGTGAGTCAAAAAAATATCACCTCACATTGGTGTCTTTGAGGGCAGGTTATGTTTAGGGTTGTCGGTAATCAAGTTTTTGCCCAAATAAAATGCTTAATCTTATTGATTTAATGTTTGCCATATATAACATAAGGGTAAACTTTTACTATGATTTTTCGAAAAAGCTAGTATTTACTATGATGAGAATTCGCAGACCATTGATTAATCCATTTCAAGTATTAATCACCTCAAGAGCACTGCTAAAGACATCCCGGAGTTGTCATTCCTTTTTCATAATTAAAAAGCCCCCTCGTTTCTCAACCAATTGATCTGGTAAAATAGCGTTTCTCCATTCTTCACACTCCTTTGTCTAGCGATGCAAACATGAGCATCAAATAGCATCATTATGTAGCCATACTGGAAGGTTTTAGGGGGAGCTGATGCTTGTTGGGTATTTTGGTTTGACACTGCTTCACACCCAAAAATAAGGGAGCTACGTTTGAGTTAAACTTAGAGATGAAAGTCTTCTTTCGTTTCTCGACAGTGAAGTAAGACCAAGCTCAGGAGCTTATTATCTCAAGTCAAAACAAGTTGATAGGATCCCCTTTTTACGTCCCCATGCCCTCTGTGTGACAACATGGGGGTGAAAAAAGAAAAGAAAGGGATGAGATTTCTCTCGCTTTTGGCATAGTGGGCCCCCAGTGGGGGGCAAGCACGACGGGCTATTAGCTCAGTGGGTAGAGCGTGCCCCTGACAATTGCGTCGTTGTGCCTGGGCTGTGAGGGCAAACAGCCCTAAGGTCTTTATATAAATTTGACTTCAATGGTTTGGTCATGGTAGATGCACACTACCATCCAACTGCACTTTTGGTCTTCTAAGTAAACAAAGACAATGAGTAAAATGGGAAGCTAGAAATGAATAATTATATAAAAATGGCGTAAGCTGTATGTATATAAAAGTTGAGAATCTAACAAACAACAAAATTTTTAGGCTAGAAACAATGGTCAACTCTTGAATCTGATACTTCGGCTGATGGTATTGATACCAGACCCTTCTCCACCGTATGGACCGGCAGGCTTCCTATGCTCGCGTACCTGTCCTTTCCTAGCAACTTCTTTCTTCTTGTGTTTCAACTGCACAAGTTATCGACAGTAGTAGCAGAGTGAGAAGGGTGCTATCAAACCCTCCCAGACAGGGGTTATACATACGAATGGGAACAGATAGGGGATGGGGTGAGTTTCATGTATATTCATTATGAACATTTGTTTCATCATTAATAATTAGTGAAATAGTTGGTTCCCAGGTTCTCAATATTTAAGGATCTTATTTGATCATGCCCCTGTATATATATCTGGGATGGGTGCGGGTAGACACGGTGTATCCCTGGCCCAGGCCCCGGGTATGTGGACATCCCCGTTCCCAATCGGGTTGGGTGAAACCACCATCCATAGATATCTAACGCTTACACCAAGCTTAAAACATGCAAAATTCCCCTTTTATCTACAAGGTGAGGAAAGCAAGGTGAAAAACCATAACAACTAACATCATACCTTGTATTTCTTTCTTGGATTTTTGAGATCCTTGTTGCGCTTGCGAGTCAGCCCCCTGTTCTTCTCCATCTGGGCCCACCAAGTTCAAAACCATAAGTTGAGTCCAAGTAAAATAATCGTATGCAAATCATGAACGTCACATATATGATTACCTCGTAATTTATGTGTCGTTTCCCATCAGAGAGTGTTTCTGGTGCTGCAACAACTGAAGGAGCGGTTCTACAAAACCACCAATATTTCCATTATGCTTACAAAATTCTACAATGCCACAACTAACAAGTAACTTTCTGTTTCTTAACTCAACACGCCACTATTGGTTTCATTATATTCGACTCTCTAAATCAAAAAGAAAATATCAAATTACCTTGAATACTTCTGTGCTTTAGCAGCTAGTTTGGCATCACGCTTTATTTTGATTTCTTTGTAAAGATCAGACTCTGAGTCTGTCCCACCATCTTCATTTGTGTCGTTAACTTCATCATCCTCAAGGGTGCCAGGCTCGTCATCTTGTAAATCGTCATCAGACTGCACTCCAGCACTCGCCAGAACCCGCATTTCATGTTTTCTTCGCCTTTCTCCAATATCATCTCGTTTTGGTAAATCATCATCTCCAGATATGACCTTCAAGGAACCAAGAAGTGAAACAAGAGAAATATGATCATTTTAAAGAATCAACAGAGAAAAAGGCAAGTCAATGAAAATAATAACATTCTACTCAAAAATAAAGCTTTCAGTGTAGGACTAAAGATCATGTTTCATAAACCAAACACACAGGCATCTACATGACTATATCATGTGCATGCAAGGTCAATTCTAAAGAAAGAACTAAAACTCGCAAGAATTTTGAGCTTACAAGAAACAATCATTTTTTTGGCACAATCTTACCCTCGGCTTCTTTATCTGTGTTACTAGCCGGGACAGTCTACTTGGAGGAATTGCATTACTCGATTTATTTTGGTTTTCATCGATATCAAAAGCATCGTCGTCAAAATCATCGAGTGCCTCTAGCTTTCTGCTCAATTACAGTGAAGATCAAAAATTAACTTGGTAGTTTAGATAGACATTTTGACCACAACAAACTGAGACGGAAGATACCCGTTCAATGGTTTTAAGTTCTTCTTAACCCCACTGGTTTTTGGTGCTTTCAAGTCAAAGACACCTTTCTGCTTCAGTTTCTCCTCGAGGGCAGCTCTTACTTTCAGCATTTCCACACTCTGCAAGCCCATTTGCTCATTCTGCCACATTAAAGATAATGATGTCAGTCGAGTAAAAAGATCCAGTAATAGCAGTAAGCCAGTAACCGAAGCACTTGTAAAGTATCAGTTGTACAAGGATTAATTTTCAGAAAGAATGTAGATGTAGTTCTTGTACGGATTAGAAAATACTCCCTTCGTCTCAAAATAAACGTCCACCATGAAAAAGGCACAAAAGTACTAGGAATGTGTAATCATTGTACTTTTAAATTAAGTGACAATTTTACCCTTGATCATAAGGGAGTAAAGAATTTCTCCATCTCATAATTAAGGATAGAATTGGGAAGTAAGACACTTATTTGGGACAAACTTGTATAGAAATGAGAACACCTACTTTGGAACGGAGGGAATAACAATTTGAAGCTAAGCAGTACCAGAAGAAATGTAAGAGATTATCACAACCAATTATCAAAATTAGTTGATACGACTCACCTGACGCTTACGCTTTCCTCCATTATCACCATCCAGCATATTCTTCTTCTTCACGAACTTGGTTTCCACATGAGGCTAAGTATAAGAGGAAACATGATTTAAGATTTTAAGACAAAACTAAAGAATTTTTTAAGCATGTTTAAACTTGCAGACAGTATCAGGATACTAACTTCTTTTTGTGTTTCAGAGGACACTACTTTCGTTTCGGAATTATTGATCAAAGAACTAGGGTCGATAGCTGCCATCTCCTCAGGAGAATTCAACACTGTTGTAGTAGCCTGTTTCTTGAGAAAATCCTCAACCTCAAATGATAGATTCTCATCAAGTGGTTTCATCTGCCAACAAAGAGCACTTCAGATGGTGAGCAAGTCATCCAACAGCAGATATTTGAAATTGATATACAGGAACTAAAATGTCTCTCTACTGTGAGAATGTACTCAAATATAAAAACAAAGAGCAAAGCTACCGAAGTATGACCGCATGCACAATAGAAACAAAAAAGGACATATATACTACACTTGATCGTATTTCAAGACCTTGGGAAAAAAAGAACTTTAGAGAACCACAAGTTAAAAAGTACGTGATGATTAGGCACGCTAACCTTGTCTAACAAGTTCTTAATCTCCACAAGGCGAGCAAGAACAGGGTGATCACGAACTGGATGACCTTCAGACTTGAGAAGAAGGTGAAAAGTAATTGCTTGGCAATATGACAATAAAAGTTGCTTCTTCAGCTCCATATATTGTATGCCTGTTTTATTTAAATTCTTCTCTTCTTTGAGCTGCACAAGAAAACCATGATTTTAATATCATTAAACATGAAAACCACATTAATGCGCCAAAGATGGATAACGAGACAAACTGAGAATTATCAAGGAGGAAACATTTATCACACATGAAATGTGCTAATATATGATTTTGTAGTTTAATGTTGAGAAAACACAACACAAAAAGTTTGATATTCAAGCAAGCTTTTATTTTTTTCGACAAGTTCTATGGCTTTATGTAGGACTACTCTTGGGTGATTGATAGAAGCTCCTTTGTTTGATTTGGTGAAGCGCATTATTGCTATCAACTATAAAAATGATACTAAATGAAGAAAGTATCATATGTCCCCGTTGTTGGTGTTCTTAGTGATTTTGGTGTAATTGTGATTTACACAAGATCAAAGGGGTTTTTAGTTAAGCTATAATGTGGATTAGGAGGAACAGAGCACGCTCGTATAAGCTAACTCTTAAGCTTGAGATCGCCATAAAGCGGGGATCAATAGGGTCATGCCCCCTTGCAAGGTTGTCCCGCCGACCGTTCAGCAGGCGGGGTTAGTCATTAAGTATTGTATCATCTAGTTAGGGTACTTTGATCTTTTCATCAGCTTTCCTGTTCCCTCTGTTTAGACTATGGTTTAGTTATTGATATAGTTTTAATCCCTGGTGCTTTACAATTATTTGTGAAGATTGAATAGTTCTCTCTAGTTATCTATTCTGATTGTTCCAAATCAACTTGTTGCTCAAGGGATCCTAAGCTCTTGTGGTTGCCTAGTCAAAGTTAGTAGTTTCCAGTCCATTCTGATTCTATCTTGTCATAATCTCATCCTGCACCACCTTCCCCCTTCTACCAGGCCAAAAAAGAGAGAAAGAATACACTCGGTCAAAGAACAACATACCTTGCTTAAAATTGGATCAACTTTGGTCTCAAGCTGTTCCACCGCTTCATTTAGCTCTGACAGCAAACCAACTAATTCTGGAGCAGAACTGTGGAGTAAAAATTTGTTAAAGAACTGTTAAGATTTCATAAAAATATAAAGCAGAACTGAGGTTCCTGTAGACCATGAAAAACAACAGGACATCGTTATTAACTGTCTACAGCAATATTCTACAACGACATAAGGCACAGGCATACTATCGTCCATATTGACCCTCCCAATAGCCACCATAAAAAATCTAAATTGAGAAAAATTAAGGATGCAGCAACCTAAGAACCATAGTTGAGTAGAAGAAATCCACTTTGGAAGTGCATCGACTTAAATATGTACTCCTATATTCAGATTGTCTGTGTAGTATGCCTATCCCATTTCCATTACATTGCTAAACCAGGGGCCAAAAGTTTCTACATATCGAATACTTAGGTTGTCAAATGGAACAGGTGATTGCTTGTAAAATATTTTGAGTTCATTGTTGATCTAACAGTAACACAATAAGTCGAGGACTATTTATTTAACTTAATTTCTTGAAGGGTGTATGTTTTTACTAATGCAAATGTTTTCTACGACATTATAGAAAAATTTTAAGATCAATAATGATATGTGCAAACGATGAGATATGATCTAGTGGCCATTATAACTTTCAACGGTCCAAGAGTTACTGTCATCATTGTCTTCTCAAACAACATATGGAAAAATAAATGCAAGTGAAAAGAGAGGACAGTTGGTGCAACATCCTGATAATTAGATGGACATCTTTTGCAAATAACTATTCAGCTAGCTGTACAAGAAGGATTACTTCTCTTAAGAAAGCAAATTTATAGAAGTACAATACTTAACTTAGAGCAGGAAAAAAAATGATGCATTAGTACTATCTGCTATATGAAAATAGAGAAAACCCACGGATACTAATCCAATCAAAAGAACTCACTTGTATACAATGTCCATTTGTTCTTCTTTTGACAAAGAATTTGGATCCTTCATGACTACCTCATAACCAGTGTCAATTTCATCTTGGGCACCATGGTCCACACTAGCTTTTGATGTAACTTTTCCTTTTCTCAGATTCTCCTGAAATAACCATTGGACTGTAAGCAATGACTCCAAGGTTAATCCATCACCAACTGAAGCACTCAAGAAAACATGACCAATAGAGAGAAATCATCTAGTAAATGTCATAACAGATTCTGAAACTAACCTCAAACGTTGGTTCTCCTTCACTCTCATCTTCCTCGTCATCTTCAAGACCATGGTCTGCATTTGAATATAACCTTGTTTTTTCATTTTGCAGCCTCAAAACCTCTGCCTCTTCCTCATCTTCACTTGATTCTCCCTTAAGAAAAATATAAGAAGCATGTGTTTAAGAAGTTAATCTACTTCAAATTACGCTATCCATCTACATTAATCATGTTTCTAACAACCTTTTATAACAGATCAGAAGCATTTGTCTTACCTTGACCGAAATAAGGTGTGTGGTGCTAACATATAGCAATAGGCAGTTATTTTTATTTGGTATGTGCATAGACAGCTCAATGAAAAACAAGGTCCATGAAATTCAATATAATGTTTACCTTATCATTATCATAATAGATGCCTTTGTTCCTCCCCCACGCAACACTTTTATTTTCTTCATCTTCAGCATCATCTTGTGTTTCGTCCTTAGCACCACCAATCTTCGCCTTTAAACTTTTGTGTTGCTTTGCGACTATGAAAGTGAGCAACAATATGTTAGTTAGCCACTACTGAACTTTGTAACCAGGTAGACAATGAAAATTTAAATTTAACATAAAAAGAACACAAATAATTCAATGAATTGGAATACTGAAAACCATAGATCTCAATCCATGATTCCATGAATGAAATCAAGAATCACTATATTAAATTCATGAACTGTGTATCAAACTATAAATCCGTTTCAACCCCTCTAAAATAACTTACCTAATATGTATAAATATAAAGCACAACAAGTATGCATATATCAAATTTATTAAACACAAAAACACAGTCTTGCCTGATTAATCATGTGTTAGATTAAGAGATAACAACAAGAAAACAATATGTTCTTGTTGCTACCTATAAGGTTTGAGTCGATAAACTCTACAACTATAAACAACAACAATAAGTTCAGAAATTTAGGATATAGTTCATAGAATCATAAGAGCAATGTGGTTCAAGTATACAAGGATATTCACCAATAAGATTGCAAATCAAGATAGAACTAACATCATATCGTGAACACTATGACAACCATGCGGAAGAAAACAAGATGCAAGCAATAATAAGTTCTATTTTAAACTTTTAGACCAATAGATAGTGAGACAGCCATTTGTCTTGGGACAATTAAACCAGAGCAAGGCACTTGACTTCAAATCCAACAAGTGCTCCATTTCCTAAACTTGCAAACATGACAACTTTCTTTAGTCTGGATCTATCAAATAATGAAATAACTCAATGCTTACTAACTGGTCTACTGATCAATACATTTAAGATTTATGTAGAAATGGAAAAACCCTAGCATACTGTATACCAGTCAATCTTGGCACATAGCGTCTCAAATTCTTTTTGTTGTCATATTATTTATTTGTCTGGCAAAAAGAAGTCTATTTGAAGCATATGGTTTTAACCAAATCAAAATGGTAACAAGATCATAAAAGATAGCAAATAACAGAAACTACGTTTATTTTCTCAACAATTATACAAACATAACGATGATAGTTTACAAACAATTGAATAAGTTTATCTAATAGCTCCCATTATCATTCATCTTTCCACTTTTTCTTGTTCGGTAGGCAATACCATTATCATTTGGGACTTGGTTGGGCCATGCCGGGGGGTGTACTGGTGTGAGATTCCAAACATGGCCACCAAAATTTTTGGGTCCCCCAAACTTTTTTTGGGGCCCAGTTATATATGTTATAGCATTTACCCAATTATATATGTATTTTGAATTTTACCCATGTTTTAGCTTAATCCCTACATCCTTCTACCTCTTATTTTGGCCCATTTTGGCATTTATAATGATTTAGCAATTTAGCCCAATGCCCCAATTCCTCCCCTCTTTTACCAGATTTAACGATTCACCGAACCCAATTATGATTGCAAATCTTCAATCTCTTCTCCTTGGGTGTCTAATATGAATAACGAACTCTCCTATCGGCTAGTCTTGTTCATCTTTGTTTTCTCGATGCTAATTTTATGATTGAAGAAACAAGCACGACCCTATATAATAATCTTCCAATTTCTTGTTCTAGTTTCTCTCTTGTTCGACGAGCAGCCTCACCTGCAATTCCTTTGACTTGGTTTATCGTGATACTGATCGCCATTGTTTAGAGCACTATAGCCTCTGAAAACGCACATAAAAGCTCAGAGTTAAGGGAGAATTTGGCCCTAGAATCGAGCTAGGGTTTCTTAAGAACTTGAGGTAGCAATAGTTGGTAAACTCCTATATGCTAATCTTTCAATTTAACGACTTATTGGAGAAAGTTGATTATAAAGAATTGACTAAAGATTTTGTTTTCAATAATGTTAGAAATTCTATTTAAACGAATTTTTTGTATGTTACTTTGTCATTTAAGACATCTTTGTTGTTTTAATTTGTAAGACATTTAAAATAATATATGGTATAAACTTTTATATTTTGTTTATTTATTAATTATATAGTCGATCTATAATCTTGATACATCATACAAGTGTAACAGGCCTCCCGAAAAGAAAAAGATTTCGAACTGCCCTGGGACTTGGAAGTGGTAATGGTATTGCCTACCAAACAAGAAGATCAGAGAAACTACATGCATTTTCAGACATTCAAAACTGAAGTGGTGGATTGATCTCACTTTTTGCAGCAAAGCCAGTTAGCTGGGTGTCATCCTCAGAGTCATCTTCGTCCTCATCTTCATCTTCGTCTTCATCACTATCACCCTATAAACAATAATATAAAAAGCATTTGATTGGTGATGGTGGCATACAACATGGGTGTAGCAAGCCCACAGAAACACTGAATTGCAGCATGCCAGTATCATTTTGTAAGAACAATGCAACGCCAGAAATGATCTTTTATAAAAGAGAAGAGAAAAGCTATCCACAAGACTGGAAAAAAAATTAAAGAAGGAAGAGAAAGAATCATAATCTCAATCGTCCAAAAGCTAACACTAATATTGGTCATAATAAATTTCATAGAACAGGAGTTCAAAGGAAGCAATTGGAACTAAACATTCAATCATGCACTTGGCACCAAAAAGGGTTAGAAGAAGCATCAACAAAAACCTCAATTTGGAAGACATGTTGTTCATTATCTTCATCAGATTCCCCAATATCATCATCTAGGTCCAGTGGAACAATATCTCTCTGCTTATGAACTGAAATAAAAATAAAAAGTCATCAACAATCATAAAACACAGTCACAAACACACAAAACAAAAACAAAAAATTTCATCAACCAAATTTGGGGAAAAAGCCCAATACATATGTATAATGACAGAGAGAAAGACTGAAAAACTTACAAGCATCAATTTCGTCGTCCATGTCGGAGTCGGAAAAGTTAGATAGTCGCTTCTGAGGAGTTTTCCTGTTGCTCTTTGGAGCTTTTGATCCTTTCGCCATTGTTACTCAACAGAAAGCTAGTGGAGATAGAAAGAAAAAGAGGAGGCGCCGCCCGGAGTATAAAGGGTTCCGCCTTCCCTCGCGTCTAGAGGCAGAGCTCGAATAAAACCCACCTCACAGGGTTTAGGGATTGTTTTGTTTGGTAATTTTTCTTTTTTTTTTATTTCCGTTTTAACTTATTTTATTATTATTATGAAAATTATATAATAATAAAATTCATAATTATGTGATAAGCATATTTGAGGTTAGAAGCGTTACAAGAGATCTGATTTTTGATCATCTTTAATAAAAAAATCTTCCAATTCACTTATGATTCGTACTTGATATAAAGATTGATCTGATGTATCTCATCTCGGTGCATCCAAGAACGAAAATCTTTTCTTATACTTCTAACATTAACTTTCCTTCTTACCGAAACTCAACCCGTTATTATACATGCTATATTTATTTTACCACTACAAATATATTTTGTTTGCTGCAACCTTGTTTCGGACACATGAAATAGATAAAAACATAGTGTCCAGACATGCTATGAAAGTTGTAAACAATGATGTAAAACAACATATTATGTTTCTAATGTTATATAATGATTGTTGTTCCGCATTATAAAATAACATAATAATTTTTTTATGTAAAATAATGTAATGTTGTTGGAATTGTTAGTTAAATCCCTTGTTTTCAAATACAAAATAGGTCTCGGATTTGATCTCGTCCCTTGACGTGCTAGCTTCAGTCAACAAGTGTGCCAAAAAACGTCCCCCTCTCACATTGATATCCTTAGAAGCGGGTTTTATATGGATCCAGTTAGAGTTGTCGGTGATCAACTTTTTACCCTCTTAATTGGAATGATTTGGCTAAATCCCTTGTTTGCCCTCTAAACTTCTTGATTACGGGTTCCCAAACCCTAATTGAAAGCGGTTGGATGGATAAGATTCATCATCACAATTCTTAACATTTTTGGGTTCTCGTTTAATTTGCCAACATATCGGTATTTATTGTATAATTTTTGTTGTCGCTTTCCTCATCTCTCCTGTGAGAAAAATGCCATAAATCCAAGCTATACAACCAAGATATGCAACCTAAGTCGCGTTGTGAGTCGCCCAAAACTTCATTTTATTGCATTTATCATTCGTTTTCGTTTATAGTCTTGATACAAAACTTCATTTTATTGGTTATTGGGCTATTAGTGGAATAACTTAAACCAATCACTCGACGTTTATGCTATTTGGATCTTGGTAATTTACATCTCCTTTCATTTTATTACTTCCTATGGTTTTTATTTCTTGAGAAACTAATTGCATTGACAGTTCAAATACAACAAAATTTGGTTTTCAGAATATTTTCTTAAGACATATTTTATGTTACATAAAAAGACTAATAGGACAATTTATTTCTTAAATCGTATTATAATGTATTTTAATATGACTTTTTAGGGGTCATTTACTAAACACTTACTTGGTAGGTGCTTAACGCATAAATTTGCTCATCGGATGAACATGAGAAGGACCAAGAATCTTACCGGGTAAGAGTGATGAGAAGGATGGAGAGTATTACCCGGTAAGTGAGGATGACGACTCTTACCCATGTAAGCGCATACCCAGTAAATTGTTGCATTCGATATGCTTTGATGTACTAAAATCTTACGCATCAAAATAAATTATAGTGTCGACTCCTATTGGTAAGCGCTTACCGGGTAAGCATTTGGGTAAACGTCCCTTAGTTTGCTTAATCGAAAACATATACTTGTTAACAACATATTGTAACACATTTATATAAGGATATGTTTGTTGGTGCTATAAACTTACAAGTATCATGAAATACTCTATTATGATGTATTATGATGGTTGTGACATACCAATTTTTGTTGTCAAGTGGTTCTTAAACTAAAACTTACCTAATAATTTTTGTTACATGTTCGCTCCAATCTTTTTGGATGCCCTTATACTTGTACCAAGACAATATAAAAGTTGACACCAAATATTATATTATAAGTCATACAAATCGAAACAATAAAAATGTCTTAAAATGACAATAACATACAAAATTCAATTAAATAGAATAACTTTTCTAACATTGTTCTAGGGAGTATAGAAAACCGCCAACCTGCGAAACTCGTTCAACCTAACCTGCTAACAACCCAATTAAACCCAACCCGTCAAACCGTCAAAACCGCTAACAACCCAACCCGTCAAACCATCAACCCGCTAATTAAGAGGGTTGAAACTGGGTTAGGCCTAGCTCAACCTGCCAAACCCGCTAACTTACCGTTAATATATAATTTTTATAAAATTATGTATATATACATATATATATGAGCTTAATCAAATGAGAACTAATTAGTTTGTAGTAACCGTGAGGTCCAATCTCAACCACAAATCAAAAGATAAATTAAAAAATTTATAGTTTTGGTAATTTTGAATTAAAATTTTAATCCAGGGACATCTTAGGTATTTTAAAACTCTCATCTCTCCTCTCTTCTCTCTCCATCCCCCGTCCTCCGGTAATACCACAGTGGTATCACAATGCATCTTATATATGTTTAGGTATTACACTGAGGTCGTTTGTGTGGTCGATCGGAGATGTAACATAGTGGTATCACAATGCATCTTATATGTGTTTGGGTATCAGACTGTGTCTTTTGTTTAACAGAATCAACATTTTTAGGTATCACAGTGGTATCATAGGAGGCCGGAGGACGGGGGATGGAGAGAGGAGAGAAAATACTTAAAATGTCCTTGTATTAAAATTTTAATTCAAAATTACCAAAACTATAAATTTCAAAATTTATCTATTGATTTGTGGTTGAGATTGAATGTCACGGTTACCACAAACTAGTCAGTTCTCCCTTGAATGAGCCCCTATATATATAAGTATATATCATAGTTCTAAATAACTCATTATGACGCACTATGGCGTCAAGGCTTGAGTTCACTGCCACGTTAACTCCTGTGACTTTACTTTAAGGTTTGACTTCCATTGTAACGCGTTATGCATATTACAACGTGTTATGGCACGTTACAACACGTTATTTTGTAAGGTGTGTTTTTTTAGTATGTTACTTGAGGGATAAATATTTTGTATCAATGGTTCTTTTTTTTTTTTTTAATTCTATATATTTGGAGTTAGAAAGATCCAATACGGTCGTACTTGATTGATGATTTGGACGGTTTGGGACATCTATTAATCAAACTTTTGAAGTAATTGATTGATGATTTGAAGTACTTGATCCTAAAACTTAAGGATTTAATTATATATTTGGATGATTAAAATAACTAATAACTTCATTTTATATATTTTTAGTAGTATTTATCGTATTTCATTCCTTAGTTTTATGTACCAAACCGTCCAACTCGTCACACCCTTAAGGGTTGGGTTGGGCTGGTTTATACTTTTGAATGGGTTGAGTTGGTTTGAGTTGAGATTTAAAAATGTCCCAGACCGCCCAATCCAACCCGTGTCCACCCTACATTGTTCGAAACAAAATCTTCAATAAACTTTCTCCAATAAACCGTTGAATTGAAAGATTACCATGTATAAGATTACCAATTGTTGGTTACCTCATGTTTTCAAGAAGCCCTAACTCTATTCTAAGGCCCAATTCTCTTTCAAATCTCAACTTCTCTATGTGTTATCAAAGGCTATAGTGCTCTGAACAATGACGATCAGTATCGCAATGAATGAAGACAACAAAATTGCAGGTAAAGCTGCTCGCCGAACGATAAAGAGATAAACGAAGAATAAGAAAGAGGAAGATTATTAATCATGGTCGTGCTTGATACTTCAATCACAAATTTAGTCATTCTGGAAAACAAAGATGATTGAGATTAGTTGACTGAGAGAGCTCAATTTTCAAATTAGAGAACTAAGAAGAAGGAATTGCAGATATGCAAGTCGTAATATCTGGAATTGGTGAATCAACAAATATGGTAGAAGAGGAAACGATTAGGGCATTAGGCTAACTTGCTAAAACATAATAATTGTCGAATGGGATAAAATAAAAGGGAGAAGGCTGAAGAGATTAAGCTAAAACATGAGCTAAAAATCAATATGTATTAGGAGAGGGAGGGGGGTTCAGGGGAAAACCTTAAAAAAATGAAAAACCGAAAAATATTCCATCAAACATTAAATTAGTTGATTAGATTAATGCAATTAAAATGACAATTACAACTTTATTTTTAAATTAAAAAAATCTCCCACCCGGAAGCAGATGATTAATCATCTGCTTCTCATGTTTCGTAAATAGCTGGGACATTGAGGAATGTCCAGAAAGGCATTTCGGGAATCGGTTTGATTCTATCTCCGTTCCTTCCCTTTGAAAAAGGGAAGGATCGTAAAGAATTGATGTTTATTTTAGTTGTTGAATTTCTCTTAGATTGATCAATGTATGATATTTTGAAACCAAATCTCAAATCTCATAATAGTCAATTCAACCAATAACGGATCGTATCATAATGTTCAAAACAACGAAAATGGTTCAGGGAATATTTGTCAAATCAACCAAAAACAGATCGTAACTTTAAAAATCAATTCATTTAGAAATTATGCAAATTACGTTTAACACGAAGTCGTAAAGCATAAAATTGAACTCTTTCGATAACATGCTCAAATCATGAAACAAGTTCACTGTAATAGCAGAAATCAAAATCTTGAAACGAAAACAAAGTTTCTTATAAAGTACTCGGAACCGCGAGGGTTGGAGTCATATCTATCAACATGGATGGGATTTCCGGAATGTAACTGGTTACCCTCGAGTCAAAGCAATAAGATATACGTACTTTAGTTAGCCCTTTCCTTACTTCCAATCACCTACAATCATTTAATAATACACTTATCTAACGATTAACACAATCATTAAGGTCTTAAGCAACGTTTCCAAAATCTCATTTTTGATTTCAAAACAGAAATTTGGCAGCTCCTATATGCCTTAAGTTACGATATATTTCTCCATTTTAGAAGCCAATTTGGACACTATCATCTGAATTATAGTTGTATATTGGCCTTTTAAGATTCTACAGAATCTGGAATCATTTAAATCGGAGTTACGAGTAGATCTGTACAATCTTTACAAAAATAGTGCGCAAGTTCTTGTGTACGATGTGAGCTGATTAAAAAACTCAGTATTTCGACAGCCCTAAACTCATAATTAAACTTTAACCTCTTCGTAACAGTTTTAGAGGACATCCTAATCTTTCCAACGGTATATCGTACATCTCATCGAATAAACAGTTGATTTTATACGAATATTTAACCTATTGGAATGAATCCGCCTCTATCAATAGCATCGTTTTCATTTCAATTCTTTAGAAATCAAGATGGTAACTTAATAAATGGTTCTAGATTTCTCAACTAAGTCAAAGCGGGTTTGATGAAGAACTTCATTTATGGTTTATAAATTAATTTTAATTATATGTAAGTATTTGAAAAATAATCTAAACATAATAATATAATGAGATAATTATCAGTTAAAACTTATTAATCCAAAAACTTGAATAAAAATTTACAAGAAACCAAAAAATTAAAAAGATTATTTTGTAATAATTAACTATAATATTTTTATATCGATTTTAACTTATATGTTTTATATATTTATTAATAGAAAATAAAATAATTAAAAATATTAAATAACAAAAAAAAAGAATGCATACAAAAAGTAAATTTTAACTTGGGCCTGATTTATATAGCCGGGTGCTTCGTTCTTCTAAATAAAAAGCAATTGAGCAAAGCTTCAATTTCAAATTTGTCGATCAAAAAACACAACCCCACTTTTCGATTTTCTCTTCATTTTTGTTCTAAATTCAAGTATTCGACTATTGGAATCCCAAACGCTTTAAAGACGATCGTTTCTGGTCTAATTTTGGATACTCAGACAGAAATAGCAACGACTCGATTCAGACCACTTTTGCAGGATCGAAAGTACTCACAAGTGAGCAAGGTTCCATGCAACTGCTAAGTTGCTCGGTAATAATAAAAAAAATCCATTCGATTTTTTTATTCATAATGGAAAAATCTTCACAAATATAAAGATGAGAAATGACCTCGTCATTATAATAGAATATTACAATATTTTTATTTCGGTTTAAAAGAAATACGATAATTTTTAGTGTTATTTTTTTAAAAATTTAACCCATTAAAAATTAACTATAAAATATTAATAAATATGTATGGATATAATTTGAATGAAGGGTGTAAACGGTAAAGTAATAATATCAAGGGACTGGAATTGTCTTGTCCGAAAGTTAATTGAAAGGATAAAATGATATTGCATTTCTTTTCCCCACCCCCGGCATATCAGAGTTTTCATCGCCTCCCGTCGGCCGGACGTTCTAGCTGTTTCGTTTCCGTCTCTGCAAAACCCTAGCCGCCGTCGTCATCAGGTACTTCGCTTTTGGTTTTCTTTTTTGCTTTCGATACTTGTGGTTCGGCAATATCCATGAGTTGTAGCTTGCAGTACTTCGTGGGCATGCTAAGCCTCCCAATTTCCATGAATGAAGTTAAAAAACAAATGTGTGAAGGGATGCACATGAACTCAACCCAATCATTTTGTGTGTGCAATTTAATTGATTAGGAGTTGTATTATAAGCGCCAATTTCCGGGTTGATTTGGGGGTAACGGTGGGTTTTTCTGCACCACTGATTGCTTGATTTTGATATCATTTTTTCCAATTTCCTGCTATTTGTCACTTGTTATTGTTAATATAAATGGTTTTTTGTTTGTTTATTTGGAATGGGGTTGTCCTAATGTCAATGTAGCAATTATTGAATGGGTTTAACCTAAGCAGAAATCTGTTGGAGGTGTGCATATTTTAGTTTCATATTCCTTTACTGTTCTTATTGATTTATTTTTCTGCAGATAGAATCATGTTGTTGGTCTTTCCAATTTACCAACAAAACATATGGTTATACAACTTCAAATTACCAAAAGTAGCCTAAACTAAGCGGAGTAGTAGAGGAGATTGGACGGATTGCGTGGCCGGTTTTCAGTAAGGTTCTTGGGACAACGGGGGTTGTACTTGCTGATTCAAGTGCCGTTTTGCTTACCGTTAATGCTGCTTTGGCGGAGCTTTCAGATCGGGTATTTGTTGGCTGTGGGGTTCAAGATTTTCTTGGGTAATGATTATAAGAAGACATTGCGCTCCCGCTGAATATACTTCTAAATGAATACAGGTTTGCATTCATATTCATCATAGTAGTGTTTAGTACATAAAATACTTAAATCCAAATAATGACAACCAAATTTTGTTCATTGAATACCGCTGTAAAAGGCTTCAAATCGTAAAAAAAAGTTCCATTTATTTATGTCACAAGGTTATTATCACCCATTAATCTTCCGTGGGGCTTTGGCTCCAGGCTCCAACTTGATCTTGTGGTAGACTGGCCGCCTAGGGGGCACTTGGCACGGTATGACCCCGTGCACCTTTACTATAGCTTCACAGCAAAGGACAGATTTCTTGGTCCATTGACGATAGCCCTAGCCAAGGTTCCGATTCAGATAGAGTAGCCCGCCTTGCTTTCTTTATTAGATCTAGATATCAAGGAATAAGCTCAACTACAAATGTCTTGTTGCCATTCTGATAAGTATTTGAGAAGAGTATTTTGGATTTTGAACTAATGAAGTTGTTGGTGTTTCGTCTTCCTTGAGAACAATGACAACGATGCTCCTTCTACGACCCATGAACATTTTTTGGTAAAGTTGTTTTCACTGAATACAGAAATCCTGTGGACAAACTGTCAACAGAAAGACAAAAAGGGAAAAGCAATAATTTCTTTACTTATAATGGTATAAACCCTAAACAAATGGAATACTTGAATTCAAGAGCAGGTGGCTTCCATCAGCTTCACAAACTCATAAAAATCTATCCTACCATCGGTGTTTTCATCAAACGCTCTGATCATCTTCTTACAATCTTCAATGTCTGCTATTTCCTTCATTTCCAGAGCAAAAAGGGTTCTCTGCAGCTCCCTTGCATCAATGAACCCGTCTTTGTTCTCATCAAACACATCAAAAGCTTCTCCTAGTTCATCCAATCTTGGCTGCTCCTCTTTAAAAATATCTTCAAAAATGTTGAACAAATCTGTAGATGTCAACACCTCTGGCAGCTTCTCATCTTCAGGATGCTCGAAACTCCCCAAATCTACCACAAATCCGCCATCGTTTTCATCAAGAAAAGAAAATCAAAACATGCAAAGCTAAATAAAGAAAAAACTCAAACTCACAAATCAAAGCACATATGAGAACAAACCACAAAACAAATGGTATGATTCAGTCATTCAACAGCAGCAGCATAAAACTCATTCAATTAACAGCAGCAAGAAATCTGTAAAACAGCAGCACAAATTTTTTATAAGCTCACCCTAATTGGCTGACTGATTACTATAACGGATAATGCGAATATGTAGAACTCCCAACTTATAGCCGATATGAGACTACAACAAATAAGTCACAAACAAACAGTCATGTATGGCTTACCAACCATTAAGCCTATACCAAAAAACACCACCTTAGATCAACAGTCATGTATGGCTTACCAACCATTAAGCCTATACCAAAAAACAACACCTTAGATCAAAGTACTTGGATCAAAGAATAGTCATACATCTATCGAAGTTGTTTTTGGGTTTCCCCAAGGGTTTAGATTCTGGATAACCCTTCAACACCAAAGCAACCAACTTGAACCTTCATTAAACTCTAATTCTTGATTGTATCAATGGTTCTTCAGCAGGGTAGTAATAGAACCAAATATGCATATAAAAGGTTGAATGTAATTAGGAGATATTGGGTATATTTTCATTAGTTATGATGAATTCAGGATTATAAAGCATATAAACGCAGATTTTGGATCTACTTATGATGAAGTTATGCAACAGCACCGATTATTACCATGTTCCTGATAAATTTCCCCAAAATAGAGAGCAGTGGAACTACCATCCTCAAAATTTACTTCAGGAAAATTCCGATCCACGCTGGATTCATCGGTATGAGATGCATTTCGGCGAGCTACGTCGGAGTATGACGGCGGTGGATCATCACTGAAAATAACACTGGCGGTTTCAGAATTCCCTCTGTCGCCTACCAAACATCCAAACGAGGGAGCTCGATCGCTGTCATCAGAGGTTTCAGTGGGTTGACCTATAGCACGGCCAATGGTCTGAGCTTGAAGCAACCAATCTGGTTTTGATCGCTGATCCTTCAAGGATCGTGTCTTCAACATTAATGGTCGTTTTATAGCAAAGCTCCTCATGATCGTGGATAACAATGACGGAGGAGTCACCTTCATTTGTATAGACAGAAATGGAATAAACTGAGAGGAGAAGATGACCTACTTTAGTTTATACAAAGTGGAAATGCCATGGAAGTCGGAAGAGGTGCTGAAGGCTCTTGGAAGTTTCTTTTTTACCACATCATTCATCTATATCTATATCTATACTACCTTATAAACCAAATTTATCAAAATTCTCAAAAACAATTTTTAATGCACAAAATACTATACATTTATGCACAAAGTCTTAAAAGTMTTAAAAACAACTCATAATGCATTAAGTACTACTACTTTATGCATTCAGTCTTAAAATCTCTTAATCTACGATTAAAATAACATATAGTACAAGTTACCAATGCACATTATTCATTTTCTTTTCATGTTCCCAAGACACTTTTGACATCTTTTACTCATGCCTTCACCTTCTTATACCTCTATGTTTTCTCTACATCCCTCAAGGCGAGATTCAAAATTAAATTTACCATGAATTATTAAAAGTTCTCCCATTCAATTGCTCCAGAACTCTAGGTCTCGCTCTCGATCTCTTGAGTATTTGCTCTTAGTGTAAATCTAACACATTTGTGGAGTCGTTTAAATATGTTGGATTTTGAATATATTGATTTTAAACTGTCATACGATTTTTTCATCGATAGACTGTAATTGAAACCATAACTCTTATTGTTCAAATTGTATTAATATGTAAATATCAAGTGTAACTTATATCATCGTTAAATCTTCTTTAATAAAACCAGTGAAACTTTAAAATATTAAAATTCACGGCTTCCGCTGCATTATGCGGGTACACAGCTAGTCAAACCATGAAACATAAATAGATGGTCAAACAATAATCATGAAATAATAGTACATTACCTTTTGGAGATTTTATTTTCTAATGTAATCAACTAAAACAGTTTTTCGCCCTTGTTATCTATTAAATTTTTTGGGCTTTTATTATACACTAAAATGCTAAAATTAATAATAATGTGTTGTTTGTTCAATGATAAAAGATTGACTCCAAAGGTCAAAAGTACATGGAGGTCTCAGGTTCAAATTCAAAGAGGAATAAAAATCCCATTTGGGACCAAAGATTGGCCATGAGAGAGCACTAGAAGTTATGAAGTGATTCAAAGATTAGAAGAGATTCAACCAGCTTGCATATCTATACTGTATTATAAAACATTTGACAAAAACTCTTAAAAACCATTTTTTATGCATAAAGTACTGTATATCGATGCTCATTACTTAAAATTCAAGATTACAAGTAAATTATGCATAAGTACAACTTATTAAAGCTTCATGTTTGAATTCGTGTAACTAATTGTGGATAAACATCTCATTTTAAAATACAAAAAAATCTAAAATAATAATTAGGATAATTATCGAGTTCTAACAGAATACTTAATTATTTTATTTTTATATAAAAAAACATTATTAAACCAAATATAAATCACTTTATTATTGAATCTAAATTAGATTATAATTAAAAAAATTGAATTAAAAAGTTACACAAAAAATGAGGAATTTTAAATAGTTAATTTGATACTAATATCAATTTATTTTTATAAAATTTTTATGATATCTTCAAATTTATATTTTATTCAAAAATAAAAACATTATCGTTTTTTCAAAATCACGTAAGATCATATTATAACATTAACTGGGATAAAGAATAAAATGAAATATTAAAATCAAGATGTATCTTGCTATTTTGCACGAGTATTTTCTCTTCAAACAAACTATGAACTGCGGTCAAGAAATCGAAGGACCTATGGATCATGTCCAAAACCTAGATTCTCTTCCACTCTCTTCCATAATCCAAGAAAAAAACCCACAAATCTGTTATGCTTCTTATGCATACATTCTTGTGTTCCATATCATCGGCTTCAGGGGTGACTTCATCGTGATGATTTTTCAAAGTGAAGGGTGTTTGAATAATTCAGGAGGACGACATGATGATTCTTCCTTCTGATGATCATCATGATTTTTCGAAAACCCCAACAGGGTTGCCTGATATCAACGCTATCGAGATGCTTGATCACCATTCTCTCCATATGTTTCAAACAACTGCTTTGGGGTTTTGCCGGAGTGGAGGGAGGAAGCGGAGGGATCACGATAACGATTATCTTTTTGGGGGTGGTCGGGTTATAATGTCAAGGTGGTTAATATACTACCTTGTTGATGCCATATATGGAGAGATAAGTTGTATATAAGTACCGGAAGAAGAGTATTCATGCAATGCAGCGAGACACATCTCGATTTTAATGTTTTATTTTATTCTTTGTTTTTGTCGATGTTATAATACGATTTTATGTGTTTTTAAGAAATAATAATGATTTTATTTTTGAATAAAATATAAATTTGAAGATATCATAAAAATTTGAAAAAGAATATTTCAATGTTAATATCAAATCAACTATTTAAAAAATCTCAATTTTTATGTAATTTCTTTAACTTGTTTTTTATTATAATTTAATTTAAGTTTGATAATGAAATAAACTTCTTTTTGATTTAATAATATAACATTTTATAAAGATAATAATTAAGTATTCTGTTAGAACTCAATGATTATCCTAATTATATTTTAGATTTTTTATATTCAAATTGAGATGTTTATCCTGTATTTAATTATGTTTATCTGCAGTTAGTTACATAAATTCAGATATGGAGTTTTAATAAGTTGTACTTGCGCATAATCTACTTGTAATCTTGAGTTTTAAGTTACATGCATTAATAAATAGTACTTTATGCATAAAAAGTGGTTTTTAAGAGTTTTTGTCAAATACTTTATAATATAGTATAGATAAAGATTTACTTATTCATATAAAAGCTCACATAATTAATTGATTATGTTGGGTTTTGTCAAAATTTCTCATGATTTTACCATGGTAACCGGTATTATAGGTCATGGGGATATGAACTTAATCGGTTGTGAAAAACTTAGGGATTCATTTGTTCAACGGGGATGAATTTTATCGGTTTTATAAAAACATCTTAAACAACTTTTCTAAAATATAAAAAAGTGAGTTTTTTGTTTTCTAAAATAGTACGGTAGCTTTGCTATCTTGTTCTCTAAGGATGCGTTTGGTACACTGGACAGGGACAAGACAGAGATCCCTGTCCCATGTTTAGGAATGGCAACGGGCCGGGTTTGGGACGGTTTTTAGAGTCCCCGTCCCCGAAACCGATAACCATAACCATCCCCGTAACCGTCCCGATCCCCGTCGGGGATCTTATCGGGGATCCCATCGGGTCCCCGCGGTTTCCCCGATCCCCGTTGGTAACCCGTTAAGAGCAGAATAACCGTTACCCATTGGTTTTACCCGAACCCGAACCCGAAAAGGACCACCCCTTTCTTGAAAGGCTTTGACAATTGACAGTATTAGGGAGTATCCACAAATTTCAACAATCAATGGTACGCAAAGTCTCAAATATGTACTAATAGGTTATACACAAGCCACATGAATGATGAATCTAATTCTAAAATCTAAATAGTGGGTCTGATTATTAATTGTTTTTCCATTCTAAATAGGTTATAAACAGGCCACATCAATGAATTTAAAGCTGCAAAACATGTAATTTGAGAGGGACATGGATATGGAAACTGGAAAGTAATCTAATCTTACTATCTGAGACTGAGAGGGAGCATAAGTATACAGTTAGCAAGCTAGGCGTACCTTCAATTTGAGAGCAGCCGACGTTAGGACTGTTAAGGGTAGAGGGCCGCTGGCGTTACGACTGTTAAGGGCCACCGACGGTAGGACTGTAGGAAGGCCGCCGGTGGTAGGACTGTAGGAGAGCAGAACAGCCGGCGTTAGTCTGTAGGAGAGAGCGAGTCAGCGAGGCGACGTGAGACGATGGTACGAGCAGCGAGAGGAGAGGCTAGCCGCTAGAAGGCGTCGGCGACAGGGGCAGGGTTCGTCGGTTCAACAATCGACGACGACGTTCGTTCAGTCGGTTGAAATTTGATTATTTGAATCGAGGAGACGACGACGTGAGACGAGAGCGAGAGGGTGAGGTCAGGAGTCAAGAGTCAAGAGTCAGGCTCAAGTCAATGGACAATTGGGTGGGCTTAAGAAGAAGCTTGGGCTTTGGGTTTATAAAATTGTAATTGTAAATTGTAAAATACTGAAATTTAAATATATTAATATATTATATATATTATTGGGCCGGTCCGGGTTGGTGAGTACCGTCCCCGTCCCCGATATAATCCCCGAAGCTACCCCCGATCCCCGCCCCGTCCCCGTTAAGAGGTCCCTGAAACCGACCCGAATTGTTCGATTTTCGGTTTTCACCGTCGGTTTCGGTTTTTTTGCCATCCCTATCCATGTTTGGCATGAGTTTTATGTGGAACAGACAGGAACATAGTGGAACAAAGTGGAACAGGCCTGTTCCACCCCTACCCCATGGAACAGACTTATATTTTACCAATATAACCTCAAAATAAAACTTAATTCTCTTCTAAAACATCAAATAGGTCTCTCTTTTACATTTTATTCATTCTTTAAATTTTATTTATTGTATTTTATGTTTCTTAAACTTTCATTTTACTGTCCTTAAAATATTATTTTTATACTGTTTCTATATTTTTATTAATTTATGTAATTTATTATATATTAATAATAAAAAATAATGTAGAAAAAAAGATAAAAATAAAAATAGAAAACCACATAAACTTTTTATTTGGTGTCATTTTAATTGTTTTGACGAAAACTTCAAATGATATATTTTGTTATAAAAAATAATTATTCTATTATAATTTAATAAATTWCATAAATTGTTTTCTTGATTTTATCACCGTCAAACATATTGCATAAGGTTCATGCATGCAATTTGTTATTTTCGATGAATTTTGTATGTTTTCCCTTGATTAGAGTAGTAAATATTCGATTTGATCTTACAGGAGTGATTGTACGGGTGATGGGTAAATTCTTCTGTATTCTAGAATCCAAGTTTTGTGAATGTGATGATACTATATGGGATCACTAGGCAAATTGTTTTCTTGATGCTTATATTTTATTTACTATTTGATATTTAATCCATTTTAATTGATTGTGCGCTTGTTGTTAGTATGGAATGCATATAGATTTGCTTCAATAATGGATTCTTTATGCTTATATTATATTTA